TGGGCCAAGCGCCTGGCGCGGCGACTGCGAGGTGAGAGCCTCTGCCCCCCTCCCCTCCAACCCCCTGCCCTGGCCCCTCCTGCCGGAGCTGGGCTCCGAGTCTCTCTCGGCTCGTATAGCTTGGCTGCCTTTTCCTGCAGACTGTCGCCGAGAAGAACGTTTATGAGTTGTTTGCGGTCCCTTTTGCCTCTTCTTCCACCCACCCCTTTGCTACCTGTCCTCTTTTTCCTCTACCCGTGTTCTTTTCCCATCTCCCGTCTGTCCATCTGTGCTTGCCCCGTCTGTGTCCCCACCTCTTCGTGCACGTCCATATTCCGATCTCTGTCCTGGTTATGCCCCCCAGCGCACACAAACGCACGCACACGTCTCTCCTTCCTTTCCTCTGGAGCATAGAGCTCTCTGCCCCCCGGGTCTTAGTCCTGGCTGCTTTCAATGTAAGAGACTCCTGAGTGGTTTTTGGATACATGTGGCTTTTCTGACCGAACGCCAGGTCTTTGGAGAGTTGGAGCAGAATACTTGTCTTTCAGCATCCTCTGTCCTACAAAAGAGGGGGTTAGGATGGTATCAGTGCTTAGAGTGGGGTTGTTGAGAGGGTGTCTTATATTCATTTTTGCTCTTCTGCAATATTGTGCAGCGCCTTGGAGCTGCCCGTGATTGTTGAGAGCTGCCTGTTGATGCACAGCTGGTGACCAGGGACATAGTCTGAAGCATAAACAGGAGTACATTAAATGAGCATTTGGAGTGTCGTTCTAAGCTTACTGCATTGACTCTGTGCTGAGCTGGCCCTGTACAGGGTTGATTTGACACAGCAGAGGAAATGGTGGGTGGGGAGTTCTTTGGATTCAAGGTTGTGGGTGCACATGTGAGAAACCCACCTTCCTTTTCAGAGAAGCTTAAAATGTCAGCATCAAATTGTGAGGATTTTTAACATAGGATTTGTTTAAGTGTCAGACAAAATATTTATAGTTATAAAGCCGCAGGAAAAGTAAACCATATTTAGAAAATATTAGAAATATTTAGAAAATATTAGAAAATATTCTTCTTTTAGAAGAAGAAATCTAGCAGTGGACTTGGCAGTGCTAGGTTAATGGTTGGACTCAATGATCTCAAGGGTCTTTTCCAAACTAAATGATTCTATGATTCTAAAATGTGAATTTGCTGAAGTGATAGATAGCACTGTTACTGGCTGGCACAGCGTCAGCAGAGGTGTCAAAACAAACTTGATTTTAAGCAGAAACTTGTAAATTAGGCTATTGTATGTCCTGTATGTCTTCACTTTGATTTTCATGTGCATTCAGAAATCATTTGCTATAATGATTTCCCTGACTTCAGCTGTCATGCACCAAAATAAATCCCTCTTGATCATTGCAGTGTTTTACTTGGATGCAAGTCAGACTTGCAGAGATTGTGGAATAGAGCCTGTTTTCTTTTCAGCAGATTTTATTGGGGGAGTGTTCAATGAGCTAAGTCACTTCATAACAAGAGACCAGAACGGCCAGGAAAAAATATCAATGGTAATTATGTGTTATGCATGAACTGGCATTACTCTGTTTGGAGTCTTCAATGGTGTGTTTAGTTTAGTCTGTCACTGAGATACGTAAATGCCTAGGAAAGAGCTGCTTCACGTGGAGAAAGTGAAGTCCTTTTATAAAAATTCTTATCTAAGTAGACTGTTCAGATGCTCCCTTAATACTAGCTGTTGCCAAGAAGGAACTTCTTATATATGTTTTTAACTGTGGTGAAAGATAGTGGTGTTTGAACATGAGGTGAGTGTGAGAGTGACTTTGTGATGACCTGGCATAAGTTGGTGCTATTTCGTCTCCGTCATGGTTTCTGCAGTAATACTGATTATCCACACTAGGACTGATTTTGGTGCTGGTTTCTGAGCCATTCTGAACCTGAAGGCAGAGCTTAATAACATGTGATTTCTGTAAGGTCAGAGTATTCAGAGATGGAAGGAAAGTCCATCAGACAGACTTTTTTTTCTTCCTCCGCCCCCCACCCCCCTTGCTATGAGATACCATTCTAATGAAGACTTAGTAAAATGCTTTGTTGAATCACATGTAGTTCACCTGTATCTACAGCTTAGGATTGGTTTTGGGGGGAGGAAGGTTGCTTATTTTCAGTGTGCTTTTTTCCTAGCAGTTTTTTTGTTTTTAAGCCTATATATGTATTTTCACCTTGTTCAGCTGAGCAAGCAGCAGAACCAAGAGGAATTGGCTTTTGGTGAAGCTGCATGCTGTGCTGGGCAGAATGAGTGCAGCTGAGCCTTCAGCGGCATCAGCATCAGGCAGATGTTGCCAGGGAAGATGTTCTGGCCCTGCTCCGATAGACGTATTGCTTGCCTGTCCTGCTGCCTAAAAGCAATGTATGTTGGTCTAGAATAACCAGTTTGGGAGCTGATGCGCGTCCGTAGCTTGAACTTTTTAATTTCTGCTTTCAAGCTGAAAGATGAGGACCACCTTTGATGTGGTAACATTATGCATCCTTTCGACTGGTGTGATTCTCTTTACACTACTGGGTGTGAGCCTATTAATCAAGGATGTGCTGTGTGGAGAATGGTGCAAAGTTACAGTGTTCTTGCAGTGCAAGAAAACAAAAAGAAATATTTTCAATAATGGCTGTGGACCAAGTTGCCTCTTGCTGTTCGAGACAGTGTACACTGGTAGTATTCTATTTTTAGCTGTAAAATGAAAAGACTTGGTTTCATGTTCTAGGAATGTTCAGAGTGGATTTCTCCCTGTGGTTACTATCCACAGTTTCTGTTGATTTCTGACCTGCGAACATTTTGTGTTTATAGGCAAGTGTAGCTAAAGTTACTGTAGTAGACAGATCCTTTTCTGGCTCTTTCATGAGAATGTTGCCATTAATTCATAGGCACAGTAAATGGCTAGGTGTGACTTTCATGATGTGGAGGTAGGTACTGCAGGGTGCTGTACTTGCCTGCTGCGTAGGTAAGTAACCTTCTCTGAAGAATGTAATCGCTGCAGGCTACACAGCGAAAGGGCTGATTTCAAGCCTGAAATTAATATACGGCACTTGAAGGGTAACTGAGGTTTTAATACTGGAAAGAGCACTCAGTAGTTCTTTTGACATTTCATGGATAACCATGAGGATCTTTGAAGACTGGAAAATGGCATACTCAGTACTCAGTTTTATATCAGGACAAGTAGAGGAAATTTAGCATAGATTTATTTAATGAAATTCCACTTCACTAGACAGAATTCAACAAGAGGGATTAATCCTTTGGATATCAACAGTTGCCACTCATCAACTGAGGAATATTGAATGACAACTTACACATTTCTTACTGTCAGTTGTGAAATAAAAATACAGAGAGGATTTAAGGTAATGGGATTTTGGTAATTGCAACTACTGGGGAGACTGTAACAGGAGTTACTAAGTGAATAGAAAGTCAACTACTTCAGACTATCTGTTATTCTTTTCAGATTCTACCATGAGTCTCTGTGAAGTAGCTTTAGTCTCTCTAGTTTTGCAGATCTCTTCAGCAAACATCCCAGATGCTGAGGGGAGAGGAGGGGATGACTATTCAACTCTCTTAAAACTTTTGATGACTTTCTCCTTGATGGGTAAGAGCAAAGTCCATTTCCAGAGCCAGGCTGGAAAGGTAATCTGCCTCTCAGAGCTGTACTTGGTCACCCAGTGCTACTGTGTCCTCATGTGCATCAATACTAAGGAGCGTATGTGGGGTATTTCTTGAAAGATTTTCTTAGTTATTGTTAAATGGAAGTATCAGATATGATTTCCAGTCACTCGTTAATTGTTACGTATGTGAAGAATGCATCATGACATCTTTACTCGGTTGAACTAGTGCAGGCTCCGATTGTACCTTACTAAAGAATGTGAACTAAGGATTATGAGACTGTGTTTTGTTGTTTTAGGACAAAGCATCTTTCCCTGAGGGTCGCTTTCCTCTCCTTCCCCCAGCCCCATTCTTTCCCCAGCATCTGAATTTCTGTGTAGGCAGGTTAGTTAGTGATATGTATCTTGGCTTGAGGGCATTCAGAACTGAAGACTTTCACATAAATCTAAATTACTTTGCATGCATTCTGTACCTTATAAAGTTGGCTTTATAATTATGTAGGTATATGTGTATATGTAACTACATATACATTATATATATTACATGTATATGTGTTTATAACACTTTATATATGTGTAAACAGAAAGATTTTAATTTCCTGTGTTACCTAACAAGCTAGACTTTTTATTTTAAGATGAAATTTCATCTATTTTTTTATTTGCAAGTGATCATTATTTTTTGACAACTCTTCTGAGTTTGTATGCTCTTTGGGTAAGCTGTTTGGGCTGTAGAATGAGTATGAGAGAATTGCTAGTTACAGATTTGTTTGATAAATGAAAGAGTACATAGATTCTGTCAAAAAGTTGATGAATAGCAAATTTGTATAAGGAATGAACTGGAAATGATTAATCGAGGCTAGAAACAAAACATTTTTGGTGCTTGCAGTAGATATCAACTTAAATCCAGCACTACTTACCACCACTATTCTTGATGTATCTAAACCAATATTCTAATAAGGCAAAAAGGGGAATAATATACATATCTTCCAAAAACGTGGCAACTAATGAAAGCTTCAAGCTAGCTGATGGGCAAATCCAGAGTTCATTTAACACGAAGATCATTGTATGATCTCTGGTACTGCTTTGGTTTTTTTTTTTCTTCACATGTAACTTTCTGTTCCTTGCTGACTCCTAACAACATTCTAATATGACAGAATTTGAGCTTGCAAGCTTTCTGCTCACCACATTTCTTATTGGTGAGTAATGTGCTGACAGCCAGGACTCAGTGCTCTTGCCAGCTTAGCTCACTGGCTGTTCCAGCCTTTTCTTCCTCTCTTCCATAATGTTTTCCTGCCTTTATTATGAGGGTTGCTAGTGCAACGTAGTGCTGTGTTAGAGGCTGAATTTGTTGAGTTCTTTATTATTAGTGACTCTGTAAATGTTCTTGGTTTTGTGTTTCTGTCTTCAAGAATGACCTAATGGTGAGGATTTGGCATTCTGGGTAGTAAAGCTGCAGTCTTTATCTGTAACTTTCCAGACTTAGCCTTAAAGAACAGCTTTGAAAAAGCTCTTGTTTTGGGGGCTGACACTAGTGAAGGTTATAAGTAACTAATTAAGGAGTGTGAACAGAGGTTAATGCTAAGACTATTAGTGCTTGTTGTGCCTATGCAAGAGAAGTTTCCTGGTTGACTTTGTGGTTAGGTCACAACTTAAAAATGTGATAGCTGAAAGGCTTCTAAAAACATCTAACACATTTTTTTTTTTTCTGAATAAACCTTGTATTTGCAGGTAGAGGCAAGAGCTTCCTTATTCCCATCTCTTTGTTAGCAAATTAAGTTCTGCAGCAGGCAGATTAGGCCTTTGTCTGTCTTAGTCTTACAGCAGTGGTTGCAAAGCAACTGAACTCTTGCTTCATTGTCAGCTTTATAACATGTTTTGGCTATCCCTTGTTGCTGTTCCGTTTGACTTCAAATTACTGTGGTATGTTTGATGGATCCAAGATTTTTTCCTGGGGAGTTTGAGATTACTTCATTTCCATCTACTGGGAGCATAAAGGATGTTTTAAAAGGTTGGCTGTTTAAAATACCTGAAAAGGAAAAGGCTGGAAGTTTGGTGCACTTCTGTAAGAATGAATTTTTATTTTTATTTTTATATGCTTTCTCTTTTTTCATAAACTAAGGTCAAATCATCTTGCTTTATTTAGGCTTAAATGAAGAGAAGTTCCTTGAAGGTAGCAGTTCTCGTCTGAGCATCAGCAGCTGTTCCCAGCTTTTTTTCTGTTCTGTATTAGGCACAGGAAATCGGTATGGTGGTTACTAACAGATTTCTGTTCTCAGATGGTTGGTTGTTTTAGTGACTCCGTTTGAAAGATCCTTTTGCTTTCCTGTTACCTTTTTGGAAGGGATCACCAAAGTTCAATAATTTCTCTTACACTGTCTTCTTGAGTATGCCGAGTAAAATATGAAGCTAGTAACAGGCGGAAATAGTTCAGCTAATGCAGTTACCCAGTTTGACAGCTAGAACGGCAGTTGCTCATTTAGGCTGCTACTAATGCTTCAATGATAACTGTTTGTTGTGCAGGGAAAGAAATCATGTGGAAATACTCACCAAGATCTGTGCCGTGTCTCTGTTGGACATGCCTTGCCTATTTGGGAGAGGAAGGTTACGATTTGTTTTCTTTAAAAATATGTTTGACTGACATATCCTCCTTTCAGGTAGAAAGTTAATTAAGAGTACTAATAAAGATTTTATACTGATTATGTGTTTTCATTCATCTAACAATGCTTTTCGTATTTAAAAAAAACCACTGCACTACATTTCTTGAAGGATGGCTGTTTGTGTCTTTGTATACTTGTATCTGTTTTCATACCATGTGGTTTTAAGTGACAGCACTTCTGGCAAGTCTTCAGCAGATTCTGTTTTAGTAACAGCTCAGCAGAACTCTATTATTATGGTATCTCATGAATAGCTAACACTGCCCTGGGCCCCGTTCAGCCAATGGAAGGGCAACCCAAAGAAGTTGTCCTTGCTTGAACTTAGATCAATTTAAAATCCATAGAAGAACCTGCAGCAGGCATGACATAGGTTAAGCTTTCAAAACCACTTAACTTATTATGTCACTTGTGTATCTAGTATCAGATATCTGTCTATATCATTATATATGTTTTCCTTTTAAGGTCTGTGGGGGACCAGGCTCATGGAAGAAAGCAACACCAGCAGAGAACGATATCTGAAAAGTGTTTTACGGGAGTTGGTTACGTACATGGTTTTCCTTGTGGTCTTATGTGTCCGTAAGTACTGTTTAGCATTAATGCATCCAGTTCTGTACTATCTGCTTGCTGTCTGTGATTCCAGAATGAAGGTTGTTTCAGTGATGTGGGAGAAGAATTAACAGGCAGGTGTGTTAGCAGATACTTGGAATTAAATCTTTCTCTTGTTTCTGCACTTGGATTGTTTCTTGAGATTGAAAATACTGCAACTTTCTGGACCTTGACAAGTTTTGAACCTTTAAGCAGCATGATAATATACTTATTCTTTGTTTTTAGGGAGTATTTTTTTAATGTAGTACCACATTGCAGTGTAATGCTCCTGCTACGCATTTTGAAATCACTGAACAGAACTGTTAAATGTGAAGAGTAGGAGTTGGTCATCTAGGACAAAATATTAAATTAAATCACCGAGTTTCAAATTTATCACCAAGCTTATGTACAGATCATTCTAAGGTTGAAAGTTCTTGATAGTAGCTGGAAAGGCAGAGATAATGCTAGCTACTTAGAAATATCTGATAATCTGTCTTTGCATGATGCTGGACGTTTTAAACACATCTGCAGCCTATATATACTCAAGTGTGTATGGATCACAGCTGGAGACTTCCATGATTTAAGTATGTCATTTTTTTTGTTGTCTATGATATCATATGAAGTATCGTAACACTACAAAACACAGAACAGAGTAACATTCAACCTACTCTTTTTTTTTTTTTTTTAACTTGGCTTTTAAGTAGGTAACTGCTTTGAGGTAGGTACTCTAGAATCAACGCTGAAGACAGTATTAGCAGATTCTACTAAATACAGACTTAGTACTGAAGTGAGGAGCTTGATGGATCTCTAAGCTCATACACAACAATACCCCTGGACCCAAACAGACTTTAAGAAAGCAGCCTGAACTGAGTTTGCGGTTCTTTTCTCGGGGTGAAGAACCTTAGTGGTGCTGGAGCACAGATAGTACAGGATGTTTATCACAGGCCTCAGACAGCACCATGAACAGTTGTGGCCAGTATAATGTAACGATTCTGAGAGCGGTCATCTTTTCTGGCCTTGGGAACTTGAAGCCCTTATATAATTCTATTTCAAGATTTCTAGGGTTTTTTTTAAGTTAATAGTCAAAACAAGGCGTGTTCATTTATTTGCATAAAAATTAGCAAGACAATGCAAAATAGAACTTACTATGGAGTTGTGAAATAGATGTTTTATTTGGTTACTAGGGAGAATAACAACAAAATCTGTATGCGTTAAGTTAGTATATCTTTGGAAAGCCGATACGTTTCAAGCCTCCAATTTTTAGTGTGGCAGTTCTGTTCTAAATGCCTGAAATGTCAGTGACACTTAAGTTGTCGTTTATGATCAGTTGTAATAGGACAAGGTGATGTTTTTATTTTTTGTGAGAGAGAATCTTGGAGTGGAAAAGAAAATGCAAAACTACATTGGTAGACTGGCTCCGAGAGCAAGTCTGCCTTGCTTGTCTGGAGTAGAATTACTGAAAAAATCCCCAAACCCCAAACTTTATACTGTTGACACAACTGTTTTGGTGTTGTACTGCAAGCATGGTTATATACTAAATACCATGGTTTTTTCTTTCCTGAGTCCTTTAAAGATGCTTAGTGCAGATTTATGGATAAAGTAGTGTAAGACTGCTTGTGGCTGGTATGCTGTACCACCAGGAGAAGTGTAGCAGTGAGGGACCTGAATTAAAATAAAGTGAAA